AAAGCTCATGTCTAGGTTTTCAAGTGAGTTCTTTCCCCACTGGAATTAGAGCTTTAACTATCAGCACTGAAGGACAATAATGATATAGATGGTCAGCTGGATCAGTTTACTCAAGATCTGAGAGTCTGTTTTTCAACTTTTCAAAAAGTAGGACATGTAGGTCAAATCTTTTTTTTTTTTTTTTTTTTTTTTTTTTTTCCTTATGAAAGAACACTAGAATGTGAGTCTTAGAATATGCCAACAAAACTTATGACACATGTTAAGACCTGAAAAAATATCAGAATGTTCCCATGGTCTGCAATGAGTTCTTATTCTGTAGCATGCCTGATATCTCCTATTTCAATTCCAGCAATCATTCCTGTAAACTGCAAAAGAATGCACTGAAAAGAACAGCTCACATATATTAACATAGTACAAAGCAGTAGGTTTTGAACAGAGGTAACATACTCACATCTATCTACATTTATACGTAGATTTTTCATGATTGCTATAGTTGAAATAGCTCTGACACATCGACATGGCTAAACATTGATTTTAACACTGACGCCTGCATTTGTGGTGTGTGTATGTATATATATGTACACAGAGGATAAATTTCCCTTTTAACAACAGCTGGTAGCTAACAACATTGGCCTTAATGTTTTCATAACACCAAAAGAAATTTAGTTCCTTTGCTCATAATTTGTAGTCACTGTCTATTTACCACATATATGAACAGAAAAGCAAAGAAAGCTTCCTTTATAACAGCTTTAGACAGTCATTTACTAGCCTGTAATCAAGAGACTGAAATTTATTCTTTAATTCTTCAAAATATTTTCAAAATTAAGGAAATCCTGGAGAGTTGGATAGCTCCTCTGACAAGTATAATAAGCAGCAGTATATAGAGTCATACACAGTTGCTGGCAGACACTTGGTTGCTCTTCCAAAGTGATGTGAAGGTTACACTGAGCCAGCTTGAGTCTGGTGGTTTGTGGACAAAGCACCACAGAACCATACCCATGATGTCAAGCTAATTTGTGCATGAGACTGTTTGCACCTAGTCCTGTATACATGCTCTAAGTTGCTACTTCTGTTCTTTTTAATTATTCTTTATAAATTGAATTAAATTTGAAAAGACAAAATATCCCATCTAGATATACCATATGTATTATGCTGAATACCACTGTGTACTTCAGTGTTTAGGAGAACCTCATTCAAATTCCCCCAGTGAGAAGAGGAAATTAAACATAATTTCTTGTATCTGAATAACAGTTTTGCTTTTATTATCTTCTTAAGAAGTAATGATGGCACCACAGCTGGCAGCTGTATCTTGCATGTGGGGTAATGAATTCAGCAGGCTTGTTCTGGGAACACCTACTAGAGCAAGTCCATGGATGAGACAGGAAGATAAATATTTAGTTTGTAGTTCCTTAGAGTCTTGTAGTATAAGGTAATCTGTTGAGTTGTTAAGCACTGTCAAAACTTCTGGACATGTTTAGAAGCATACTTTTTGGATGCCAAGACAATTTTAACATTGAGGACTTAAGTCCCTTAAGTATACATTGGATAGCATTTAAGTGCTTATTTTGGTCAAGTTTGTAATGTATTTCATAATTACATATTGGTGATACATGAATCTGTACTCTGTATACTCTGTAATCTCCCTGCCTGTAAACTAGATGTAAACACTTCATTAGCTATGGAATATTCAGTTATCATAGTCATGGAGATGGGGAACAAGCAATCATATAAATAAATTATATATAATACAAAGAAGAGTCATAAGGGGTATTGGACATTGTAATTGAAGTATAAAATTAGAGCTGTGATATTCAAATTTGATCAACACTAGTTTTTCAAAGGCTTTACAAACATTTTGACCACATTTGTACCAAAAACTTTGTTTTTCTGATATAACACATGATATTTTATTACAATTACTATTATAAATTCACATTTTTATACCAACTAAATCATTGTAGTTATGTAGAGAAAACACTTTTTTTTTTTCTTTTGTTTTTTTTTCCTTTTTTTTTCTGACAATATTTATTCCACTAGAGTACTGACATAAGCTATACAGGCAAATTAAACTCTTACTGCTTGAGGAATGACAGCAAAATTGGAGAAAGTACCATTACAATTTAATTGACAAACATTTTATTTGGTGGTATAGTGCTAAGTATTTTCCACCTGATGAAGGTACATAACAGCCAAAGAGTGTTTTGTGTGTTGTTTTGTGGTGGCATAGTACTGATTTGTTCATGACTGCAGTGTCCCAGAGCTATCTTTTTAGTGTCTATGTGGCCCCTGGTAATTTATGAAGTTGTTTTTGTTTGTCTCATTTGTTTAAATTTAATCACAATTTTTCCTCTAGGAGTTGTCACTTTTTCAATGGATAGCTAGCACTAAGGTTTTTTCTTTTTCCGTGTTCTAGAAACTGGTGAAAGTTTTATGGTGTGCAGACAGATCAAGAATTTGGATGCAGTACATTCACTAGCTGCTTGCTAAATTGTAATTTTTGGAGCCATTTGAATTGTAACCATCTTCAGAGTTTTGCAAACAAGATAAAATTAGACATATACATATATTTATACAGGATAAAAGTTAAGCTGTTCTTGGAAACTAAATAGCATGGTAATAATAGCAATAACAATGATGATAAGAGTTGTGATTAGAGTACACTCTTGAATATCGCTATCAAAATATTATGCAGTAATATCAAATAACTCAAAGACAGATTTCCATCCTTGAACTCTCCCTAATCAGATTCTTCAGAATTTATAAAATAAATAAATAAAATCCTCCATTCTATCTTCATGACTTTTCAGCTGAGGGGAAAAAGGAAAGATTAGGAATGTGGTTTACGTGCTTAGGGTCTATTTTTGCTTTTTTACATGTGTGAGATCAAGATCTTATCTTCTTATCAATCCCCAAGAAACAGCAAATAAAATACATTACATTATACAATTCAAAATAACAAAGTAGAAACTCTTTGTCTTGTTTCTGCAATTTAATTCATGAAAGAAATTTGAATTTGGGGAATTTAAAATTCTCAGAATTTCAGTCTTTAGGAATTCATATCTGTTGATTTTTTTTCTCCTATTATACACTGCATTTTATCTTTAAGAAATAAAAAAAGAAGAAAAAAAAAGAAAAAAAAAAGTTCTATTTTCCTGCATATCAAAGTTGTAAAATTAGACTTAAATTTTGAATGCATGTAAGCTCATGGAGCAGATCATCTTGAGTGCCATCACCCAGCACTTGAAGGGCAATCAGGCAATCAGGCCCAGTCAGCATGGGTTTATGAAAGGCAGGTCTTGCTTGATGAACCTGATCTTTTATGACAAAGTGACTTGCTTTGTGGATGAGGGAAAGTCTGTGGATGTGGTCTACCTTGATTTCAGCAAGGCTTTTGACACCGTTTCCCACAGCTTTCTCCTCAAGAAACTGGCTGCTTGGACTGGTGTATGCTTCGTTGGGTTAGAAACTGGCTGGGTATCCAGGCCCAAAGAGTAATGATGATTGGAGATAAATCCAGTTAGAGGCCACTCACTAGTGCAGTCCCTCAGGGCTCAGTACTGGGGCCGGTCCTCTTTAATATCTTTATCGATGATCTGGATGAGGGCATTGAGTGCACCCTCAGTAAGTTTGCAGACGACACCAAGTTAAGTGTGTGTGTCGATCTGCTTGAGGGTAGGAAGGTTCTGCAGGAGGATCTGGAAAGGCTGGACCAATGGGCTGAGGCTAACTGTATGAAGTTTAACAAGGCCAAGGGCTGGGTCCTGCACCTGGCTTGCAACAACCCCAAGCAGAGCTGGAAAGCTGCCTGGCAGAGAAGGTCCTGGGAGTATTTGTTGACAGTAGGCTGAATATGAGCCAGAAGTGTGCTCAGGTGGCCGAGAAAGCCAACGGCATCCTGGCTTGTCTAAGAAGCAGTGTGGCCAGCAGGGCTAGGGAAGTGATTGTCCCCCTGTACTCGTCTCTGGTGAGGCCGCACCTCTAGTACTGTGTTCAGTTTTGGGCCCCTCTCTACAAGAAGGACATCGAGGTGCTCGAGCGAGTCCAGAGAAGGGCAATGAAGCTGGTGAGGGGTCTGGAGAACAAGTCCCACGAGGATCGGCTGAGGGAGCCGCTTGTTCCTCCTGGAGAAGAGGAGGCTCGGGGCGACCTTATTGCTCTCTACAGGTACCTTAAAGGAGGCTGTAGGGAGGTGGGGGTTGGTCTGTTCTCCCACGTGCCTGGTGACAGGACAAGGGGAATGGGCTAAAGTTGCCCCAGGGGAGTTTTAGGTTGGATCTTAGGAAGAACTTCTTTACTGAAAGGGTTGTTAGACATTGGAACAGGCTGCTCAGGGAAGTGGTGGAGTCACCATCCCTGGGTGTCTTTAAAAGACATTTAGATGTAGAGCTCAGTGATATAGTTTAGTAGAGGACTGGTTAGTGTTAGGTCAGAGGTTGGACTTGATGATCTTGGAGGTCTCTTCCAACCTAGATAGTTCTATGTTTCTGTTGCAGTCTCCCAGCTCAGAGCCAGCCACCTATTAGTCTGGCGCAACGGATTTGTGTGTTCCTTGCACTAGCTGTTCCTTCACCTCCTCTTCACATACAAGGACACGCATCTCTTTCACGCTCCTTCAGGAGTAAACAAGCCAGGAGAGATTAAAGCCTCTTTCTTCAGGTCAGTAAGATCCCTGCCTTTGGTTTCAGTGAGAATTCAGGCTCTAAACACTCAAGTGTCTTCTGGACGGTGTTTCTTCTGGTAGGATGATTTCATTTCTCTTTTGAAGGCTTACAGGGATGTAGTAGCAAAAGCAAAGGCATAAAACGGTACCTGAGGCACAGGCTAGTTTTCAGCCTGCAGCAGACTACAGGTATGATATCATCCTTTGATATCATACCTATATCATACATCATGTTATCATATCAAGAAACGTAGAAAACTGCCTGTTGCTTCTCGGGTTTAAAGTTTTCCCTTAAAAGGTGTATGCAAAGGTGTAATCAGCTGTCTGAGTACAATTCTCACGTATACATGAGCATTTTCCTCTCCCCTTCCCAACTTGGAGTGCAACACTTTTCATCATACTGTTATAAATTCCGAGTCAACTTAGCTTTATGAGATTTATTTATGGGGTTAATAAAAGGCAAGTAAAGAGCGCTGGGTGCGCGGGGAGTCTGGGCTCCTCCAACACACACACGTTACATCAGGCGGCAGCTTTTTCTGCTCCTAGGCTAATACATGTTCATTACTACTTCTAGAAAAGGCAGTGTTATTATAATTAGTTCCCGGATTCCGAACCCTCCCACTGGCACATGCATATCAGTCCCCGGTGGTCCCTCTGGGGGTCTCTCGTGCTGAAGGCTCATAGTCTTCCTCCCAGGCTTTGTCCTTGTCCTTCTCCTTTGTCCGTCTTGGCTGGATATCAGGCTTGCCTCTAACTCTATACAAAAAAGAGAGAGAGGCACACCTTTCTACTCTGTCAGCTACTGGCAGACCTAGAGAGAAAAAAAAAAGTTGTTAATTAAAAAGTAATGTTGTTTTAAGGCATTTCACCAAATATGTTAATATTTGGTAGAAACCAGACAACAAATGAAAGGGAAGAAGAAACGGTAGAAGGTACTTGCATGACCTTAATTTACACGGCAATGGACAACAACGACAACCTGCAATGATTCAGAGTGCCTTACACCATTCACCCTTGAGACAGAAAACTGGGATTCCCATATGATGTAAGGGGAGTGCAATCCCTCTCAAAATACGAGAGCCTGGGGGACGCTACTGAGTACTGAAAATGTGAAGGCTAGGCAGCACCGAACTCAACAGAGAAGGGAGGCCGAGTCTCCCTGGCTGTTCAGCATCTTTAAAGCTACAGAAAGGCTTGAAGGCTCTGTGGAATCATGTTCCTGGCGCAAAAATCTGGGGACCAGGACTGGGCAAGTGGGGCACAAGTGTGCTGGGGAGCAAGCTCTCTGGGCTGATTACCAGGGCTTTAAACTAGGTTTGATGGGGGAAGGGAGGGGAGCTAAAGGTGACAGAGAAGGGCTGGGTGAAGTCCTCACTACTCTTATAAATGGCTCAGTCTCAAAATAGGACTATAATCAAAGTTTACAATTTATTAAAGGAATAGAGGTAGGCAAACAGCGCTGGGTGCACCGGGAATCTCTGCTCCACCAAGACGCACACCAGTTACATCAAGCAGCTGATTTTTACGCTCCTAGGCTAACGCATGTTCATTACTGCTTCTAAAAAAAACAGGGTTATTATAATTAGTTTCCAGAATCCAAACCCTCCTACTGGAGCATGCGTAACAGTCTCCGGTGGTCCCTCTGGGGGTCTCTCATGCGGAAGGCTCATTGTCTTCGTCCCTCTGGTCCTTCTCCTTTGTCCAGCTTGGCTGTAAGTGACTTGTGCAGCATCCCCTGCAAACTTTGTCTTTTAGTCTTTCTTCAGCTTACCCCGTCTCCTTAGTCTCCTGGCCAGATAACAGAGACTTGCATAGTGTCCCATGCAATAGTCATAATAGTTAGCAGCTATTCTGAACCCCCCCAGATATCAGAGACTTCAAGTAAAAGCCTACAAATACATTTCCCTTCAAGCTCTCTATTGACACGAATTGCTAAAACATTCATTTGTAAGGTACAAGAACTACATAAATGTACATTAACCACTCTGTTTTTCTTAGACTTGTGCTTATAGAAGGGTCTGTAGGACAGAAGGTCACATTCATCATACCATGCAGCCCTAGCATTGTTCCATACTGCCACGGATCAGATGAACACATTTCACACCACTGTCACTGTTGAAGACAGGGAAAAACTTCTGAGCTCTCCCATAGGATTGTCTGAGGGCTCCTCAGAGAAGGTAGCATTCCCAATCCCCCGTCCAGTATCTTCTTCTTGCATCCTCCCCGGGGTAACTGTACCTGCTGCTTCCCTAAAGTGCTTGTGCACAGAGCGTGGGAAATAAAAAGGATGAGCTCAAGGTCTGCGTTCGGACGCAGGGCCATGATCTCCTTGCGATCACTGAGACGTGGTGGGACAGCTCACATGACTGGAACACAATCATGGAGAGCTACATCCTCTTTAGGAGAGACAGGCGGGGGAAATGAAGGGGTGGGGTTGCCCTTTATGTGAGGGAGCAATTAGAGTGTACCCAGCTCCAGCTGGGGGAGGGTGATGGACAAGTGGAGACCTTGTGAGTAAAAACGGACCAGGACTGGGGACCAGGACCGGGACTGGGGACCGGACTGGGGACCGGACTGGGGACCAGGACTGGGGACCAGGACTGGGACCAGGACTGGGGACCAGGACTGGGGACCAGGACTGGGGACCAGGACTGGGGACCAGGACTGGGGACCAGGACTGGGGACCAGGACTGGGGACCAGGACTGGGGACCAGGACTGGGGACCAGGACTGGGGACCAGGACTGGGGACCAGGACTGGGGACCAGGACTGGGGACCAGGACTGGGGACCAGGACTGGGGACCAGGACTGGGGACCAGGACTGGGGACCAGGACTGGGGACCAGGACTGGGGACCAGGACTGGGGACCAGGACTGGGGACCAGGACTGGGGACCAGGACTGGGGACCAGGACTGGGGACCAGGACTGGGGACCAGGACTGGGGACCAGGACTGGGGACCAGGACTGGGGACCAGGACTGGGGACCAGGACTGGGGACCAGGACTGGGGACCAGGACTGGGGACCAGGACTGGGGACCAGGACTGGGGACCAGGACTGGGGACCAGGACTGGGGACCAGGACTGGGGACCAGGACTGGGGACCAGGACTGGGGACCAGGACTGGGGACCAGGACTGGGGACCAGGACTGGGGACCAGGACTGGGGACCAGGACTGGGGACCAGGACTGGGGACCAGGACTGGGGACCAGGACTGGGGACCAGGACTGGGACCAGGACTGGGGACCAGGACTGGGGACCAGGACTGGGGACCAGGACTGGGGACCAGGACTGGGGACCAGGACTGGGGACCAGGACTGGGGACCAGGACTGGGGACCAGGACTGGGGACCAGGACTGGGACCAGGACTGGGGACCAGGACTGGGGACCAGGACTGGGGACCAGGACTGGGGACCAGGACTGGGGACCAGGACTGGGGACCAGGACTGGGGACCAGGACTGGGGACCAGGACTGGGGACCAGGACTGGGGACCAGGACTGGGGACCAGGACTGGGGACCAGGACTGGGGACCAGGACTGGGGACCAGGACTGGGGACCAGGACTGGGGACCAGGACTGGGGACCAGGACCAGGACTGGGGACCAGGACTGGGGACCAGGACTGGGGACCAGGACTGGGGACCAGGACTGGGGACCAGGACTGGGGACCAGGACTGGGGACCAGGACTGGGGACCAGGACTGGGGACCAGGACTGGGGACCAGGACTGGGACCAGGACTGGGGACCAGGACTGGGGACCAGGACTGGGGACCAGGACTGGGGACCAGGACTGGGGACCAGGACTGGGGACCAGGACTGGGGACCAGGACTGGGGACCAGGACTGGGGACCAGGACTGGGACCAGGACTGGGGACCAGGACTGGGGACCAGGACTGGGGACCAGGACTGGGGACCAGGACTGGGGACCAGGACTGGGGACCAGGACTGGGGACCAGGACTGGGGACCAGGACTGGGGACGCAGGACTGGGGACCAGGACTGGGGACCAGGACTGGGGACCAGACTGGGGACCAGGACTGGGACCAGGACTGGGGACCAGGACTGGGGACCAGGACTGGGACCAGGACTGGGGACCAGGACTGGGGACCAGGACTGGGGACCAGGACTGGGGACCAGGACTGGGGACCAGGACTGGGGACCAGGACTGGGGACCAGGACTGGGGACCAGGACTGGGGACCAGGACTGGGGACCAGGACTGGGGACCAGGACTGGGGACCAGGACTGGGGACCAGCTGGGGACCAGACTGGGGACCAGCACTGGGGACCAGGACTGGGGACCAGGACTGGGGACCAGGACTGGGGACCAGGACTGGGGACCAGGACTGGGGACCAGGACTGGGGACCAGGACTGGGGACCAGGACTGGGGACCAGGACTGGGGACCAGGACTGGGGACCAGGACTGGGGACCAGGACTGGGACCAGGACTGGGGACCAGGACTGGGGACCAGGACTGGGGACCAGGACTGGGGACCAGGACTGGGGACCAGGACTGGGGACCAGGACTGGGGACCAGGACTGGGGACCAGGCACTGGGGACCAGCACTGGGGACCAGCACGGGGACCAGCACTGGGGCACAGCACTGGGACCAGCACTGGGGACCAGCACTGGGGACCAGCACTGGGGACCAGCCACTGGGGACCAGCACTGGGGACCAGCACTGGGGACCAGCACTGGGGACCAGCACTGGGGACCAGCACTGGGGACCAGCACTGGGGACCAGCACTGGGGACCAGCACTGGGGACCAGCACTGGGGACCAGCACTGGGGACCAGCACTGGGGACCAGCACTGGGGACCAGCACTGGGGACCAGCACTGGGACCAGCACTGGGGACCAGCACTGGGGACCAGCACTGGGGGACCAGCACTGGGGACCAGCACTGGGGACAGCATGGGGACCAGCACTGGGGACCAGCCACTGGGGACCAGCACTGGGGACCAGCACTGGGGACCAGCACTGGGACCAGCATGGGGACCAGCACTGGGGACCAGCACTGGGGACCAGCACTGGGGACCAGCACTGGGGACCAGCACTGGGGACCAGCACTGGGGACAGCACTGGGGACCAGCACTGGGCCCAGCACTGGGGACCAGGACATCGTTATCCTGATCACATGACAAAACTTTAAAAAAACCCAAGTTCCATGTTACAGACACAGGTCAAAGAAATCCTCAAGCTCCCCAACCCCTATCAAATTTTTAATCCAGGAGCACTTACCTGCCAGCTTCTGAATTTTACTTTCTTCCAAACAACTTCATGGGGAAGTAGCACCGCCAGGTTTTTCCCATTCTGAGTAGTCACCACCAATGTTAGTAGCTCATAGAGTGTCCCAAACTATTTCACAGAGCTTGTACAAAACACGATGAAAAAGTAGTCTACTTAGAAACACTGATTCCATTTCACGAGGACAGTAGAAAAAGCACCCTAAGTAACCTGAACCTCATACTCCCCTAGAGTGGCAAGTCTTCCCATACTCCTCATGCTTCCTTTATAGCAAATGTCAAATGATCCCCACCTGGCAGATTTCACTTCACATGTGTGGAGTCATGAGACCTTGCGGAATAGGCTCATCAACCTAGGTTTCAATGTTTAAGGTTCAATTGCTCCTTATCGCTAATAGAAATAACCTGGCTTAGTGGTTAGAGTTGACCTAATGAATTAAATACAAAAGGCACGTAAGGCTCATATTTCTGCTAGTCATTCTGTGAGGAAAATTAGTACAGAGCCTGTTATAATAAGATCAATAAACTTAAATAATATAAAAAAGAAAATGACCTAAAAGGCGAAATTGACGTCATAGATTTTCATCTGTCTAATCACGACAGATAAAGAATATAGCAATCAGAAAGACTTTGCTTGACGTTAATGTTGCTTAAATTTGCCTTTCTGAGATCTCTTCTTTATGCCGGACTTTTCAAAATCTAACGCCATGACCTCCGACTGCAGTATTTACTTTGGCTGCACATAAACTATCACGTATAAATGCCAGGATACGGATCCTCACTCCCTGTTCAGGTCAAGGACCGGGCTGAAAGTTTTGGCTTCAATTTGGTTACATGACTACATTGCTGTTGTCATGGTTTCCCCTAGCCGGCAGCTAAGCACCACACAGCCGTTCGCACAGCCGTTCATTCGCTCAAGGCATGTTGGAGCTGTGCCAGGGGGAACAATGGCAAGGCCGGGAGATAAGGCAATGGCCCGGCTGAAGTGCATCTACACCAATGCACGCAGCATGGGTAACAAACAGGAGGAGCTGGAAGCCATCGTGGGGCAGGCAGGCTACGACTTGGTTGCCGTCACGGAGACGTGGTAGGACCAGTCTCATGACTGGAGTTCTGCAATGCCTGGCTATAAGCTCTTCAGAAGGGACAGGCAGCACAGAAGGGGTGGTGGTGTGGCTCTCTATATTAGAGAGTCTTTCGATGTTGTGGAACTCGAGGCTGGGAATGGCAAGGTTGAGTCCCTTTGGGTTAGGATCAGCGGGAAGGCCAACAAGGCTAGCGTCCTGGTCGGGGTCTGTTATAGACTGCCGAACCAGGATGAGGAGACGGATGAGGAGTTCTACAGGCTGCTGAAAGAAGTCGCGAAATCGTCGGCGCTTGTTCTCGTGGGGGACTTCAACTTCCCTGACATATCCTGGAAGCACAACACAGCCCAGAGAAAGCAGTCTAGGAGGTTTCTTTGGAAGGTAGTTTCCTGATGCAGCTGGTTAGTGAGCCTACCAGGGGTGGCGCCCCGCTAGACCTTCTCTTCACAAACAGAGAAGGACTGGTGGGAGATGTGGTGGTTGGAAGCTGTCTTGGGCAGAGTGACCATGAAATGGTGGAGTTCACTATTACTGGCAAGGCCAGGAAGGGGACCAGTAAAACCGCTGTATTGGACTTCTGGAGGGCTGACTTTGAGCTGCTCAGGACACTGGTTGGTAGAGTCCCTTGGGAGGCGGTTCTGAAGGGCAGAGGAGTCCAGGAAGGCTGGGCGCTCTTCAAGAGGGAAATCTTAATGGCGCAGGAGCGGTCTGTCCCCACGTGCCCAAAGACGAGCTGGTGTGGAAGAAGAACGGCCTGGCTCAACAGAGAGTTGCAGCCTGAGCTTAGGAGAAAAGAGAGGGTTTACAATCTTTGGAAAAAAGGGCGGGACACTGAGGAGGACTATAAGGATGTTACGAGGCTGTGCAGGGACAAAATTAGAAAGGCCTAAGCTCATCTGGAGCTCAACCTGGCTGCTGCCGTTAAAGACAACAAAAAATCTTTTTACAAATATATCAGTGCAAAACGGAGGATTAAGGAGAATCTCCATCCTTTACTGGATGCGGGGGGAAACCTTGTTACAAAAGACGAGGAAAAGGCAGAGGTGCTTAATGCCTTCTTTGCCTCAGTCTTTAGCGGCAATACTGGTTGTTCTCCGGATACCCAGTACCCTGAGCTGGCGGAAGGGGATGGGGAGCAGGATGTGGCCCTCACTGTCCACGAATAAATGGTTAGCGACCTGCTATGGCACTTGGATGTGCGCAAGTCAATGGGGCCGGATGGGATCCACCCAAGGGTACTGAGAGAACTGGCAGAGGAGCTGGCCAAGCTGCTTTCCATCATTTATCTGCAGTCCTGGCTATCGGGGGATGTCCCAGTTGACTGGTGGCTAGCAAACATGACGCCCATCTACATGAAGGGCTGGAGGGCAGACCCGGGAAACTATAGGCCTGTCAGTTTGACCTCAGTGCCAGGGAAGCTCATGGAGCAGATTATCTTGAGAGTCATCACGCAGCACTTGCAGGGCAAGCAGGCGATCAGGCTCAGTCAGCATGCGTTTATGAAAGGCAGGTCCTGCTTGACGAACCTGATCTCCTTCTATGACAAAGTGATGCGCTTTGGTGGATGAGGGAAAGGCTGTGGATGTGGTCTACCTTGACTTCAGCAAGGCTTTTGACACCGTTTCCCACAGCATTCTACTCAAGAAACTGGCTGCTCTTGGCTTGGACTGGCGTATGCTTCGTTGAGTTAGAAACTGGCTGGATAGCCGGGCCCAAAGAGTCGTGGTGAATGAAGTCAAATCCAGTTGGAGGCTGGTCACCAGTGGCGTTCCCCAGGGCTCGGTGCTGGGGCCGGTCCTCTTTAATATCTTCATCGATGATCTGTATGAGGGCATTGAGTGCACCCTTAGTAAGTTCACAGATGACACCAAGTTAGGTGCGTGTGTCAATCTGCTCAAGGGTAGGAAGGCTCTGCAGGAGGATCTGGATAGGCTGCACCGATGGGCTGAGGTCAACTGCATGAAATTCAACAAGGCCAAGTGCCGGGTCCTGCACCTGGGGTGCAATAACCCCAAGCAGAGCTACAGACTGGGAGAGGAATGGTTGGAAAGCTGCCTGGCAGAGAAGGACCTGGGAGTATTGGTTGATAGTGGGCTGAATATGAGCCAGCAGCGTGCTCAGGTGGCCAAGAAAGCCAACGGCATCCTGGCTTGTCTAAGAAGCAGTGTGGCCAGCAGGGCTAGGGAAGTGATTGTCCCCCTTTACTTGGCTCTTGTGAGACCACACCTTGAGTACTGTGTTCAGTTTTGGGCCCCTCGCTACAACAAGGACACTGAGGTGCTCAAGAGAGTCCAGAGAAGGACAACAAAACTGGTGAGGGTTCCGGAGAACAAGTCTTACAAGCAGCGGCTGAGGGAGCTGGGATTGTTCAGTCTGGAAAAGAGGAGGATCAGGGGCGACTTTATCACACTCTATAGATACCTTAAAGGAGGCTGTAGTGAGGTAAAGGTTGGTCTATTCTCTCATGTGCCTGGTGACAAGACAAGGGGGAATGGGCTAAAGTCGCTCCAGGGGAGGTTTAGGTTGGTTATTAGGAAGAACTTCTTGACTGAGAGGGTTGTGAGGCATTGGAATAGGCTGCCCAGGGAAGTGGTGGAGTCACAGTCCCTGGAGGTTTTTTAAAGATGTTTAGATGTAGGGCTTAGTGATATGGTTTAGTAGAGGACTTGTTAGTGTTAGGTCAGAGGTTGGACTAGGTGATCTTGGAGGTCTCTTCCAACCTGGATGATTCTGTGATTCTGTAAGTAGTCATATAACTTTCAAGGTGATGACATAACACCTGTAAGATCATTCCTCATTACATACTTCCTGTGAATTTTTATTTTTATTTTTTTCCCCAATACATGTTTGTAGTTTGGTGCACAGTTTCTTTATTTTGGGAGCACATGGTTAAAACGATTGTAAAACAAAGTAGACTGTTTGAGACGCTGTTAGTCTCCCATGGTGTCATATGTTCTGAAAGAATGGACAATTTCCCTACATGCAGGCTAGCAAAGTCCTTCTCTACAGTAGCATCACTGTTGTTTTACTCTGCTGGTTTCAAAGGAGCAAAAGTTAAAGGATTTTGTAGGACTGGATGATTTGCTGTTATAAAGTCCTGAGGTCAGATTCTTCATTGAGGTGAACTTCAGCAAATTGTTGCATATTCAGTAATGACTCTGAAGCAACTATTTTATTGTCTAGAAAAGTGAACATTGAGGCCTCTGGGAGGCACCTCAAACTGTCCTTAGCTCAGCAACAGAGCTGAGAACAGCTTAATTTAGCATAATTGTAATTTACATTTCTTCTACAACATTTGTTATATGAAATTCTTGTATGAATAGTGTAGTTAAAAAAATAAATAAATAAACCAATGGAAGGTGCAAGAAGGAAGGCAGAGGTCATATCTAATTTTCTTCAGGTTTTAGAAGTGATCCATTTTCTGTAAAAGAAATTGTGATTTGTCTTAGTTGTAACAATAGCTTTGAAACTTTCAGATCCAGAATGGGAACAAGAGTTTTAAAGGAATCTAGAGTGACAGAGAGACTTATATCCCATGTGACAATGCTAATTAATACAGTATTCCTTTTTTCTGAGATACATGTTCCTTAAATACAGACAATTTGGAATTTCACTACTAGGTCAGTTCTGATTTGTTTGGTTACCTATGCAGACAAGGCTGTTTAATTCAGCAGTCCTAGAAATAAGATGCCATAACACAACAAATCTTCACAATCTTTAAAGTGTTATCTTAAGAACAATGAACATTGCAGGGAGATAAATATTACGAAGGGATAGGTGTAATGTCAAAGAGAAAATTTTGCTAATCGTGAACAGTGAATGAATTACCACTGTAATTGGATGGATTCATAAAATCATGGAATAGTTTAGGTTAGGAGGGTTGGAAGGGACCAGGATTATCTGACTCTATCCACCCTGCCATGAGCAGGGATGCCTTCAACTAGAACAGGTTGCTTAAAGCCCCATTCAACCTGGCCTTCAACACTTCCAGATTGAAAGTGTGGATGGGGCATCCACAACTTCTCTGGGCAACCTGTTCCAGTGCCTCACCACCCTCACAGTAAAGAATTTCTTCCTTTTATCTAATCTATTAATGTGTTTCTGGAGTAGTGAATTGATATAAATAGTAAGTCAGCAGTTCTGAAGGAGTTCCAAATTATTATGAAAGACATTAACTCTTTATGCAACTATATTTTTCCTATTAAGGTAACAAGAAATCAGAGCATGTAGACACATTTTCGATTAATTTATAGAGGTGTAAATT